AATCAAATAACAAAATAACTTTCAGTTATAGTTATAGTACATTACAGTTCAACATAGCTACAGCCACAGCTACAATCATAACACCTCATAGTAATCTCAAATGTACCCTAGGTTTGAATAGAATATTATAAATTATGGTATAATTGAATTAAACGAGATTGGATATTTATGAGTAATTTTGTAACTGTATTAAATATTATGTGTTGTTCATGAAAACTATAGTTAGAAAGCTCTAAAATAAGACTTTTGGTTTTATACATAAAATTGTTATAAGCTTCTTGTGAACTTCTTGTGGCTTTCTATTAGCTTTTGAAGAAAGTAATTTGAAAAAAAATTACCAAACACACCCACACAACACACAAACACACACATATATAAAAGCACTGTATAGCTACAAGAAAAAAACCTCAAACTGCAATACCAAACACACCTTAATTGATAGAAGGACTAAAGAAAATATTTTTCATAGTTGAGAAACCAAAAAAATATATAAAAAAAGTTAAAGAGCAAAAATTGTGCAAAACCCTAAAGTTGAGAGCCCAAATTTGACATTTAATAAATCATGCAATGATCGATTGAAGAATGAATAAAAATGATTAATGTGTTTGTTAGCCATATTTCTAAAAATTAAAAGGAAAAAAACATAAAATTACAACATTTCAATAAATTTGCATTGAAAAAGATAAAAATAACATATTCTTAAAATAAGAATGACAGTGTTTTAGTTTTATTTAAACAACATAGTTTTTTGAGTATTTTTTCCTCCTAATTTTTTAAAATTCATGTTGATAAACACTAATATTATAAAATTATACTAGAATATTTCTTTAAGAAAGTGAAATCTAACTTAAATTGATTTAACACAAAAAAAAAAAAAAGAATATGATTATAAATTCAATCATGAAAAGTTAAAAAAACCTACCTTGATGCCAAAACAAAAACCTTTAAATTATTATATAGAATATTAAGAATGAAAATAAAAATAATATTAAAGAAAATTATAAGTTTAAAGTTGTTAAATAGATAATCAAAATTTATTTTTTGGAGCTTAATAGATGAGTAAATGTTTAAAAACCCCCAATTCTTAATTAATTAAATTGACAAAATTCATTCCATTTGAATCATATATTTATTTTTTGAAAACTCTTTGTTTAGGTTTTAAATATTTTCTCTACATTTAAAATGATCCTTGAAATTCATTTTATTAAAACAAAATTTTTAACAAATAAATGTTAGAGTACCCCATTAAATGTATTGTGAAAGTTTAGTGGGGGGCAGCTGCCCCCTCTTGTCCTTCATTGGCTCTGTATCTATTCACACTACTTTTTTCTATATTAGTTTCTTATCAAATACAAAAAAATAATAATAATAATTTAATAAAATTTTACTATAAAACTTATCAACTTTTCATATTTCTTAAACTATTTTCCCTTAAAAACTTTTCTAGTAAAATTAGCCCTCAGATCAAATAGGCCTTAAGTGTGTGCAATGCAATTTCTCTTAAAAATGAACTTAAAGAGAGAAAAGGTATAAACAAGAATATTAACTTTATATTTTTTTTAATTTAAAAATATTAACTTTGCTAGTTTTTAAATAAAAATATTAATTTTTTATTTTTATTTAAGAATATTAACTTTATTAGTTTTTAAATAAGATGTTAATTTTAACTTTTTCTATTTAAAAATGTCAACTTTTAATTTTTTTTATTTAGGAACTAATTTAATGATAATACTAATATGACAAATGGATTTTTTAACTAACATATTGAAAATTAATATCTTTAAATAAAAAAATTAAAAATTGATAGTTACATTTAAAAATTAATAAAATTAATATTAAAAAAATATAAAATTAACATTTTTATTTTCACCTCATCTCAACCTGAAGAAGCCGCACGGAAATCGTTTGACTTAGTTTAAGAAATTAAATTTCTTTACACAGAAATCTAGGCAGCATGTAGTTGATTATAAAAGAAAAGAAATCAGTTATATTGTCACTTTCTTAAGCAAAGGGTTTTTTGAGCCTTTTTCTCCAAAAAAAGAAGTGACATAATCGATTATTAAGTAAAAATAAGTGATTGTGTTAAACATATAATCATTCATTTTTTATTTATAATATTATATTATAAATATGATTCATTACTTTTTTTTTATAATAAATCTAGATTTATAAAGTTTTTCTTTTTTAAAAAAATCTCAAACCAAGCATGTACCTTCTTTCATTCGTCTTCCCCGGATTCTATTTCTAGGAAAACAATAAATTAAACGATCCCAAATCATCAATAATTTAAATAATTAAATAATTATTTCTTTTACTAAAAATTAAAATTTTAAATTTAAATAATATAATATATAAATAATATAAAATAAAATATAAAAAATAATTATTTTTTATTATGCAACTAAAAAAAAGAATGAAAAAAACAACCCCAAATGAATTGGATCCAGCCACCTACTTTCAGTGTAGGTTAAATTATAAAAAACTACTTTGAGAAAAAATGTACTTATAAAGAAGTTGGCCGGTCAAAGAAACATTAAAAACACATTTTTTATTTTTTTCATTTTGCTTACATAATAAAACTATTTATTTTTTATTTTTCACTTCACTTCATCTGTATATTGTGTAAATTAAATTTTTTATTTTTTATTTTTAATAAAAAATTATTATTAAATTATCTAAAATGATATTAAAAAAATCTAAATTAAAATCACAAAATCAGTTTTAAGTTGGAATGGGACTTGAACAGACTAATTGTATCCTTTTCCTTAAAAAATTAAAAACAATTTTAATGGATTACTCCTTTAATTACTTGGAAGGAGAAAACAAATCAAATAAAGGAAATATAGGGGCAAATATATACTGATACTACTGAGAGGAGGAAGAAGAAGATGCTTGCGGTGGAGGTGAAGACGACTCAAATTTGTAGTACTTATCTACGGCGACGGAGACATCCCAGGTACAGCTGAGTCCTTTGGGTATGACGACGAGATCTCCGGCGCCAAACTCCACGTACTCCGACGATCCTTTTGGGTATGCCCTCACTTTCCCCTTCACCAAATAACAGGTCTCCTCTGCGTCAAACTTCAGTTGGTATTTCCCCGGTGAACACCCCCATCTTAATATCCATGACAAAACCCAGAGAAAAAACCCAAAAAATTAAAAAAATTAGAACACATGCGAATATGAATTTATAGTGATCGATTGAAAAGTTTCTAAGTTCAAATTTCTGAAACGGATAACTATAAGGTCTATTAAAAGAGAGAGAAAGAGGATAAGGAAGAAGCTTACTTGGGCCAGCACTTGATGTTTAGCTCAGAGAGTTTGGATTCTGGAGGGTTTCTCTCAACTCTAATTCTGAGATTATTGTTAGTATTATCAGCCATGATGGGGAGAAAGGAAAAGGGGCCTTTAGGAGGGTAGGGGATGGGGAAGGAGATTTTGTGTATAATATATAGGAGGGCAGAGGTTTGGAACTTTAGATAGGAAGGCTTCGGGTGCATCATTATTTATTTTCAGGAAAGTGATATTAACCACCTGTACATCTTATCCTCATTAACAAAAAATTAGTTTTTTTATCATTGAGGTTGTATTTTTTATTTAAAAATTATATTAAATTTTAATTAATTTAAAATTAAATTAAGTCATACTCATAAAAAAATAAGTTACATAAGACCCATGAAAAATCAAGTTATGTTCACTCGTAAAGAATCGTACCATGTTAAATTCTATTAATGGGAAGTTTTTGTTCAATTATTTTTTTTTATTTATTTGAATTCAAAATTTTATTTAAAAAAATCAAACTACTTTTATCAAAATCAATAAATTGTTAATTTTAATATTAAGATTATATTTATTGATTAATAGTTGTAAAATGTGTAATTCGTACAATTACCTTTAAAACAATTATTTTATTTATTTATTATTATTAAGTTACTGTATTTTTCTTCATTTATTATTAAGAATTGACTTATCACATCTTTCCGTGTCATAATCCAAAAGCAAAATAATGTTAAACCGATCATTCGCTATTGGATTGGCAATTTTGTCACGGTTGCTTCTCCTTGTACTGCATTGACTGCAATCTTGCCATTGATTAAGGGGGAAAGGTACTCGGAAAAAGGCATGCTTTAGTTTAATAATTAATTTCCTCACCCACCACTTTTTTGTTTGGTAAATTTAAAAGGGAAAAGTGTCTTGTAAGATATTATATTTTATTTTAATAAAAAAAATTACATTTTAACTATTTATGTTTCGGGATTGGGATACATAAAAATTTAAAATTTTAACATATGTATATAATATACTTGTCGTTTAATGTAAATGCATATAAAAACATACAATTTCAAAATATATAAATAAAAATCTGAAATTTGTATTAAGTACACATAATCACTTAAGGTTACGTGAAAAATTCTAATACCTTCGTCTTTTTTTTCTTTTCATTCTTTTTAAGTTAAGGCCTCCAAGGAATTTCAAAAAATTTTAATTAGTTATTTTTACCTAGTACAAACCTTAAGTATTTGTATATATATCTTGAAATTTTATATTTTTATTTTATATACCTAAAACCAAAGATATGTTATGTACATATTTTAAAACATGAGTTTTTATATATATTTACCTTAAATCACAAATAGCTAAATCACAATTTTTTTTTATTTAATTAATATTTTAAAAAATTAACTGTTAAATTAAAAGTTCTTTTAATGTAGATTATACATGTCAAATTTCAAATTTATCTAGTAGGCCTACCTAGTTATTTAATGACACAAAATTTAATACAATTAAATATATATTAGTACATGTATTATTTCTTCCATCAAAATATTATAAATAGTATATCAATATAAAAATTGATATTTATGAATTACATGAATATAACTTTTAATTTAATAATTGATTTTTAAATATATTAATTATAAAGTGAGTCTTTAAGCCAAAATATATATTGGGAAGTTAATGTGGATTACACTAACCCTTATTTAAAATAAAAAAATAATTAGTACATCTTTTTATTTAATTTACCTTTCAACACTTATAAATTTATAATTTTAAGTTTTTTTTTAATTTTAATTCAGATTTAAAAATAATAATCTTTTAAGAAATATATCATAAAATGTATTAAATTAAAAAGTTCCAATTACAGTCTTCACTCTCATGCAAGAGTTTAAGTTTTGCTTCCTGTTTCTGTGCAAACCGAACTATTAAAACTATCCCCAATTCAAAATTGTTTGATGCAAGGTTATCAAAATC